TGGGTCGGAACCGACTCGATGGCACTTAACAACAACAATAACAACAAGGCAAGGTAAACATATTCATAAGTCAGTGAAGCATTTTAGTATTATTTCCCCCTCTTGAAGCTATCCCTAGATCCCTGTATCCCAGAGCCCTGTTGTTCCAAGGTTGAGCATGTATCACTATTTACCTCTATCTCACTTAGCCCATGCAGACCTGTCTCAGTGTTCCTTTATCTATCTTGTTCTTCCACCTCCTCCCGCTTCTTGTATTGCCTTCCTCAACACCCAAACTAAACCCCCCTACCCAACTCCATTGTTAATTCCATTAATTCTAGCCTCCATTTAAGACAGTCTATTTTATCCTGTAATCTACCTGAGCTGCTCACCACCTGGATCTCTATTCCTCTGTGTTTACCTTCTTTCACATTGTTATGATCATAAACTGACCTCCCAGATCCTCTGTTCTTATCATTTTATTCTGTTCTTGACTCTTCCAATTGCCAATTGAGTTCAGGGTGATGCTGCTATGTATGTTATTCTCTAGTTGTTGTCTGTTCTTGTTGGTTCTTAGTCCACAGAACTTCCTTTAGGATGTTTTTCAGAGTAGGGTTGGCTTTGGCAAAATCCCTTAGCTTCTGTTTATCCTGGAATGTTTTGATTATGCCATCGTATTTGATTGTCAGCTATGCTGGGTAGAGGATTCTTGGGTGGCAGTTTTTTCTTCTTTCAGGGTTTTATATATGTCTCCCCATTACCTTCTTGCCTGCATAGTTTCTGTTGAGAGATCTGAGCTTAATCTGATTTGCTTGCCTTTGTGTGTTACAATTCTTTTTTCCCTAGCTGCTTTCAGGATTCTGTCTGTAACTTTGATTTTGGAGAGCTTGATTTTCATATGTATTGGTGATTGTCTTTTAGAGTCTAGCCTTCCTGAGGTTCGTTGAGCTTCTTGAATGCTTATCTTTTCACTTTTCAGGATGTTAGGAAAATTTTCTTCCAGAAGCTCTTCAACTATCTCCTCTGGACTTGTGTGATTCTTCCTGTTCCAGAATGTCGATAATTCTGAAGTTATTCCTCTTCATGTTGTCCAACATGAATCTTAGACCTTCAGATTTTTTAAATCCTCTTTTGTATTTGCTCTTGTATCTTAGTAGTGTTGAGACATTTATCTTCCAGCTTACTAGCTCTGGCTTCTATCTCTTCAGTTCTACTCCTTTCCCCTTTCAGTGTAGTGCCCATTTCTGATAATCTATTATTAATTGTTTGGACTGCTTTCTGTAGGTTTTGAATTGTTTTCAATGTTGTTTCTGTCTTGTTTGAGTGTTCCTGTAGTGCTTTCCTGACTTTTTCCTAATTTTTTTCAACTCCATTGTATAGTGTTTTGATACATATTGCAATTATTTTTTCTGAATTCCTTCTCTGGCATTTCCAAAGCCTGCCCATCTTCCAGTATGGAATGTAGGTCTACTTCCAGCTCATTGCCACAGTCATTTTATCTCATTTCTGGACATGTGCTGATAATGGTCATCTGCTTCTGTTTTTTGGGACTATTCAGGAGTTATCTGTGGCCTTAATACTTAGATGGGTATGTATTTTGTTATTTTTTATGCTTTCTGATTGCCTTCAGCTAGATGTGATCAGGATATGGGCTTTCCTTTTCACTATTCTTCCTGAGAAATTTCAAGTTGCCACTGTTGGTCGTTGTGCCTGAACTCATGGCTAAATTTTTGGCCTTTTTCCTTTTCATTCTGTCTGTTTCACCCCTCAATCCCCATTCAGGCCTTTTTTTCTAGGTATAAACAGTTTAGGGCCAGCTGTGGCCAGTTTGGTTTTAAGTGGAAACTGTTGTAAGGACCTAACTGATTTTACTTACCTAGAGACTGCTTGACTAAACTCTAGTCAGGCTCAGAAAAGCATTTTAAATAGACAAGGCCTCAGTTTTTAGTTCCCTCCAGAGACAAGGTCAATCTCCATTCTGTACATTAGCCTGAACACGTCCTCCTGTTCCAGGAATGTGCTAAATCAGCTCATGTTGCCTTAGAATATCCTTTCACCCCTAGTAACAGCGAGAACTAGATAAGAAATAGACAGGACCCAAGGCCAGATGTTTTCCTTTGCCCTAGCCTAAGAACAAAGACCACCAGTACTGACCAATTAAACTATAACATCTCATACTTTGCTAATTGTTAACCAATCAGAAACTGTATCTATGGTACTGCACAATTATGCCCCTAAAACCTTATAAAAACTGGCTTGTACTGTAAAGGGGGGTCGCCTTTGTCTCCTGTTTTAGAAGTCTGTGAAGGTGGACCCCAGCGCGTTGGCAAATAAACCTCTTGCTATTGCATGGAATTTGAGTCTTGATAATCTTTTTTGGGTCTCCTACTGGATTTGGCCACTAGGGGGCCTAACACTATCTCTTTAAATTTTGAGGAGATTTCTGCGCATGCGTAGTAGAACCCTTCGGGGCTGGGGCTGGGGTGTCTACTAGCTCAGGCAGCGAGATACAAATGGACAGATACCAAAAAAAGAATGTCCACACCTTTATCTTTGTGGTTCTGTCAGGCGTCCGTTGCTGCTCTGATCCTTTCCCCGCTTGGTCTCGCCCAAGATGGCGGCTCCGTGACCAGCTGAACGTCTTGAATTAGAAAGCAATGGACTTCCTGCTTCTGCTATAAATTCCCCTAGCAGTAAGCCTTCCAACCTTCTAAATATTCCTTTATATATGGTTCAGAGTTCTGGAAACATCCTCTCAGCCTTCTTGGTCTGGTGTTGTTGTTGACGGAGCTCTTCACTGTACTTCCACCCTCTCCACCATCTTGTTTGTTCCCGTTGAGCTGATTTTAACTCATAGCAACCCTGAATCGGGTTTCCAAGGAGTGGCTAGTGGGTTTGAAATGCCAACCTTGTGGTTAGCAGTCCTGTGCTTATCCTACAGTGTCACAGGTAGCATTTAAAACCTTGAGACAATGCTGTCAGGAACAGAGTGGGTGTGGATAGAAGAGAGGATGGAGGGCTGAGCCCTGGAATCCTCCACTGTTAAGATGTCAGGGAATGGTGGAGACGGAAGATAGAGGAGAGGTATCAGCAACTGAGGAGCAGGCACTAGAGTGGAGTTTTTATAATGAAACTTAAAACACAATTAACGATTTCTTGTTTTATTTTCTAGCCGAATTACGCAATATGACAAATACTCAGTCTACCCAACAAAGGTAAGGAAAAAGATTTATGGATGAGCCATCAAAGAATTGTTTTTGTTGCTGTTGAGTTGTTTTCGACTCACAGCACCTCTATGACAAAGAAGAGTTTTTAGGCGATAATATTTTTGGGAGCAGATCACCAGGTCTTTCTCCCATGAAACCACTGGGCAGATTCAAGTTGCTAACCTTTCTGCTGAGTGCTTAGCCACTGAGCCACCAGGACTCCTTCCTAAAGAATTAGGGATGTATTCCTAAAATAATAATATAGTGTAGTAAGGGGTGTGTGTTTCTAAATAAAACTTTATCTTGTCATAGCTGGAAATCTGGGAGAAATGTTTACTTCCTCTGCCTTCTCACTGCCAGGGTGAAAGATGGAGTTGGTAACCTATTGTTCCTGGTGGTGGTGGTGGTGGTGGTGGTGGTGGTGGTGGTTGTGTGCCACTGAATTGGTTCCGACTGAAAGTGACCCTGTATAGGGTTTCCAAGGCTGTAGTGGTTACGAATTGGTCTGTGAACCGCAAGGTTCTAGACTACCAGCTGTTCTGCGGGAGAAAGATGAGGCTTTCTGCTCCTGTAAAGATTCATAGCCTCGGAAACCCTGTACAGGGTCGCCAAGAGTTGGAACCGACTCCATGGCACATAACAACAACAAATCTTTTATGTGAGTAGAAAGCCTATTCTTTCTGCCTTTTTTCTTACTACTAAGAAAAATTTGAGAGACTAAAAGGAGCTCTGGTAGCGTAGTGGTTACAAATCGGGCTGCGAACCTTAAGGTCAGCGGTTCGAAACTACCAGCTGTTCTGTGGGAGAAAGATGAGGCTTTCTGCTCCTGTAAAGATTTACACCCTCGGAAACCCTGTACAGGGTCGCTATGGGTCGGACCCGACTCAATGGCACTTAACAACAACAACAACAACAACAACCACAACCGTGCTTAGAGCTTCTGAAATGAGCTCCTTTTTACCCAACAATAAAAATAAAAGGTTGTGAAGATGCCTATTGGGAAGTAAATCAGTAAAGGGTATGGGACCATGTGTAGCTCTTTCAAAATAGGAAAATGTGAATGAGCAGATGTTGGATTGTGTCGGGGAGCTCTCAGTGTGGAAACATTGTAGGTGGTAGAAGTCTTGGATCCTTTTTGTTGTTTTCTTTCCAACAAACTTTTATATCTTTTTGTCTTTAGTAATGAAGGTGATGCTATCAAAGTTTTTGTGCGAGTGCGTCCGCCTGCAGAGGGTCCTGCGTCAGCTGAAGGAGAGCAAAACTTATGCTTATCTGTGCTCTCCTCCACCACTCTCCGGCTGCACTCCAACCCTGAGCCGAAGACCTTCACATTTGATCATGTTGCAGACATGGACGTCACTCAGGTAATGACAGTTTTGGAAACTTTTCCCTTGGAACAAGCTTTGTAATTTGTAGGAATTTCATTTCTGGTAGATCTCAGATAAGGAAGTTCAACTTTTCCTTAAAATATCTTAAATCTAATTTAATTAAGTAGCTCTCTTTTGTCTTCCTTAAATTTTGTACTAAAATGACATAGACTTGCTTTTCTTTCCCTTTTTGTCCAGTGATGGAAATGGTTGAGGATGTAATTTTCACTGCTACTAGGATGATAAGTACTGTTTAACTGCTTAGTTCAAAGGTAATAATGGAGTTAGAGTTACTATGATGTCAATGGAGTCCTGGTGTGGTGCTGTGGGTTAATGTGCTGGACTGTAAGATTAGCAGTTCAAGCTCACTAGTTAGTCCTTGAAAACTCTCTGCAGGATTGCTATGAGTCGGAATTGACTTGACAGCCCTTGATGACAAAAACAGATGGCAATAATGGCTTTTCTAAATAAGGGCAAGTTAGTTAAAGTCTACTTCAGTGCTAACCAATAGAAATTTTTGCAGTGATGGAAATGTTCTATAACTGTGCTGTCCAATACAGCACATGTATTAGGTGGCCTCTAATCACATGTAGCTATGTAAGTTTAAGTAAAATTAAATGAATTCAGTTCTTCAGATGTGCTTGCTGTACATATTTAATAATGTAGATCTGTACTGGGCATTATAAATTTAGATGGTTCTTTTATATCCATATGCGTATATACATATATAAAGCCAGAGAGAGAGGGAGAGTGTCCTGGTGTGGCGCAGCAGGTTAATGAGCTGGACTGCAAAGTCGGTTTTTAAGGTCAACAGTCAAGCTCACCAGTTCTCCTTAGACACTGTACACAGGGTTGCTATAAGTCAGAACTGACTTGCTGGCACTTAACAACAACTATATGTATACATATACATATATATGGACTCCTGGTGTGGTGCTGTGGGTTAATGTACTGGACTGCAAAGTTGGTTTGAACTTCAAGGTCAGCGATTCAAACTCACTAGCCATTCATCGGAAACCCTATACAGGGGTCACCATGGGTTGGAATTGAATTGATCACATTTAGTAACAACAACACATACATACATACACACATAGATAGATGTTTTACTGAGATATTTAGAACTTTGGATGGTTTTTCTATTTATTTATGGCAGTGCAGGCCAATAAGAACATGAAGTTAGCTACATAGAATTTATTTTTTCTAGTTGTTAAAGTTGACATCAAGCTGGCTCTGACGAATGACACTCTTATGTATAATAGAAAAACTCGACTCAATGGCATCTAACAACAAAAATAATGATTAAAATATCATTTCAGCATATAATCAATATAAAATATATTACTAATGAGTTTTTCCAAGTGCTTTTTTATACTCAGTCAATTAGAATCTTTTATACTTATAAGCCCATTGCTGTTGAGTCAACTCTGATTCATGGCATTCACATGTGTGTTAGAGTAGAACTGTGCTTTATAGGCTTTTCAGTGGTTTGTGGAAGTGGATTACCAGACCTTTCTTCCGCAGCACACTGGGTGAATTCAGACTGTCAGGCTTTTGGTTAGTTGTTGTTGTTGTTAAGTACCTTGGAGTTGGTTCTGACTTATAGTGACCCTGCACAGGGTTTCCGAGGCTGTAAATTTTCATGGGAGCAGAAAGCCTCATCTTTCTTTCATGGAAAGGCTAGTAATTTCGAACTGCTTTAAGGAGCTCTGGTAGCGTAGTGGTTACGAATCGGGCTGCGAACCTTAAGGTCAGCGGTTCGAAACTACCAGCTGCTCCGCGGGAGAAAGATGAGGCTTTCTACTCCCGTAAAGATTTACACCCTCGGAAACCCTATACAGGATCGCTATGGGTCGGAACCGACTCGATGGCACATAACAACAACAACAACAACCTTGAGGTTAGCAGCCTGAATCATAACCACAGTGCTACCCCACTTGTGTTACTCAGGGACCTTTTTTTTTTAAGTTGTTTGTGTTGTTAAGAAGTACGTTAGTATCAGTTCTGACTCATAGTGACTCTATATAGGGTTTCTGAGAATTGATTGGTGAGTTTAGCAGTCCCGTGCTTATCCTACAGTGCCACAGCAAGACTCTAGGGGAAACAAAAAGGCTTACAGTACATGTTAATTTAGATAAGCCACATTCCAGAATCTAAATAGCCACAGAGTCACTGTACCCAAAATAATTGGTCAATTATCAGTCATTTCAAGAGGTACTATATGACCAAAAATTGATGATGTTGAAAGAAGTCCAAGCAGCACTGAAGGTATTGGGAAAAAACAAAGCTCCAGGAATTGATGGAATAAAAAGTGAAATGTTTTATCAAACTGATGCAGTACTTGAGATGCTCACTAATCTGTGCCAAGAAATTTGGAAGACAGCTACCTGATTTGAAGAGATTGTGCTCAATCCAAAGAAAGGTGATGCAGTGGTATGTGGAAATTATCAAAGAGTATCATTCATATCACATGCAAATAAAATTTTGCTGACAACAATTCAAAAACAATTACAGCAGTACATTGACAGGGAGCTGCCAGAAATTCAAGCTGGATTCAGAAGACATAGAACTAGTGAGATCATTGCTGACATCAGATGGATCTTAGCTAAAAAACAGAAAACACCAGAAAGATGTTTACTTGTGTATTATTGACTATGCAAAAACATTCGGCTGTGTGGATCATAACTAACTATACATTGCCAAGAACAGATATTCCATAATATTTTGTTATGTTCATGAGTAACGACTACACAGACCAAGAGAGAATCATTCAAACAAAACAAAGGGATAATGCATGTTTAAATCCAAAAAAGGTGTGCAGTGGGTTGTTTCCTTTCACCATACTTATCCAGTATGTATGCTGAGCAAATAATCTGAAAAGATGGATTATGTGAAGAAGAATGTGGCATCAGGATTGGAGGAAGATTTATTAACAACCTGCAATATGTAGATAACACAGCCTTGCTTCCTGGAAGCAAAGATGACTTGAAATATTTACTGATGAAGCATTTGGTAGGGATTTTACCTCAAGGTAAAGAAACCAGAAATCCTCCCAACTGGACTCATAAATTGTTGTTAGGTGCCAATGAGTAGGTTCCGATTCATAGCAACCATGTACAGAATTTACAAGGAGTGGCTGGTGAGTTTAAACTGTAGACCTTGAGGTTCAAAATGATCTTGTTCAGTGCTTTTTCCAGTAAATAACATCGTGATAAACAAAAGATTGAAGTTCATTTTGCTTGGATTCACAGTCAATACACAAGAAAGTAACAGTCAGAAAATCACATGACTTGATTTGTCTTGCAAATGAATTATATTAGGAAAATCTGCAAAAGCCATCTTTAAAGTGTTAGAAGCAAAGATGCCACTTTGAAGATTAAGTGCACTTGACCCAAGCCATGGTATTTTCAGTCACTCCATATGCATGTGAAAGTTGGACAGTGAATAAAGAAGACCAGAGAAGAATCAATGCATTTGAATTATGGTGTTGGCAAAGAATATTGAAAATACCATGGAATTCCAGAAGAACAAACAAATCTGTCATGGAAACTAGTGTAGCCAGAATACTCCTTAAAAGCAAGGATGGAGATACTTCATCTTTCATACTTCTGACATGTCAGGAGGGACCAGTCTCTGGAGAAGGACATCTTGGCTTGGTAAAGTGGAACATCAGTGAAAACGACATGGATTGACAAAGTGGCAGCAGCAGTGGCTCAGGTGTAAAAACAATTGTGTGAGGATGGTGCAGGACCAGGCGTTGTTTCAGTCTCTTGTGCATAGGGTTGCTAAGAGTCGGAATCAACTTGATGGCACTTAGTCACATTGGACTCATGGCTTCTTTAATGAACATATGGTGTTGTTAAATGTTGTCCAGTTAGTTCCAACTCATAGCAACCCTATAAAGGGTAAGAGTATTGCATGGTTGATAAGGCTGCATCTATTTATATGTGAAAATTAAAATTAAAATGTTGATTATTTAATAATCAAGAAAATTAAATTCTCTATAAAGTTTAGATGTGAACTTTAAATCTATAATTATCTCTATAGGAGATTAATGGACATAATGATGTCGAAAGTTTAATCATCTTAGATGTTTTAGCCTATTTTCTGTTATTTTTGTCAGTTCTGACTCATAGCAACTCTGTATTGGGTTTCCTTTACAGAGGAATTGCTGGTGGGTTTGAACTGCCGACCTTGTGGTTTACAGTCCAGTGCTGTTCCTACCGTGCCACACCAGGAGTTCAATTTTCTACAGTGGATATAGTTTTACTGTTACTTAAACACAAATGTTAACAATCTAAACTCAGTTTTCTGTGTTGTATTGTAGAATGTAATTTAGGAAAATGTTCTCATTTTTATGAAAGTTAACTTGTTTGATGCTTAACATTTATAGGAGTCTGTGTTCTCAACTGTGGCCAAAAGCATTGTGGAATCATGCATGAGCGGTTATAATGGTACCATCTTTGCATAGTAAGTTGTTGGCTGTTCTTATACAAAAGTGCAATAGTAAATACTTGGATTAATTTTTTGTGGCATTTGTAGCAAATGATTATAAATTTAGAGGCTTGAAACAACACAAATATATGATCTTAACTGTTTGTAGGTCAGAAGTTCAACATGGGTCTCACTGGGCTAAAATCAAGGTGTTAGCAGGGCTGCACTCCTTTCTGGAAATGTTAGGAAAGAATCTGTTTCCCTGCTTTCTCCAGCCTCTAGAGAGTGCCCACGTTACTGCTCATAATTCCCTTCTTTGATCTTCAAAGTCAGCAAGCCTGCATCTCTGTGATTTCTTCTGAATAAACTGAAAATGTTTCTCAGCTTTTAAAGACTCATATGATTAGATTGGACTCACCTGGATATTTTCAGGATCCTCTTTTCAAGGTTTTTAAATTAATCATAGCAGCAAACTCTTTTGCCATTTTAGGTAACATAATCACAGATTTGGGGGATAGGGTGTGGAAATATTTGGGACATCAGTATCTGCCTACTACAATGCTTATCAAAAAATACAGAGACATGCGTGAAATAAGTTTTCACCACATTTGAATTTGTAATTTAAATCATTCATAATGTGTTTGTGTACGTGAATGTCTATAGTGGTGATGGTTATGTGCCATGGAGTCAGAACCAACTCATAGTGACCCTGTATAGGGTTTCCGAGGCTGTAAATCTTTACGGGAGCAGAAAGCCTCATCTTTCTTCCATGGAATAGCTGGTAGTTTCAAACTACTGACCTTAAGGTTTGCAGCCTGTTTCGTAACCAATACACTACCAGAGCTCCTTGTGAGTGTCTATACATGTATGTAAATGTATATGTAGATATAGTCTTCATTTGCCCATATTGGTGTTTTAAATTAATAAAATTTTAATTTTGGAATAACTTAAGGTTTTTAGAGAAGTTCAAAGGTAGTACAAAGAATTCCAATATACTTTTCTCCCAGTGTCCCTTAATATTAATTTCTTATATAACATACATTTGTCAAAACTGATAAGCTGACACTGGTATATCATTATTAACTAAATTTAGGACTTTTTTAAGATTCTACTAGTTTTTCCTGGTATGGCACTGTAGGATAAGCACTGGACTGGTAACTTCAAGGTCAGCAGTTCAAACCCTCCAATTAATTGTTCTTCAAAAATCCTATACAGAGTCTCTATAAGTTGGAACTGACTCGATGATATACAACTAGTTTAGTTTTTCTACTGTCTTTCTGTTCTACAATCCAATCCAGGAAACCACATTGTATTTTTACTTGTTTTATCTCTCCCGTCTCTTGTACGTGACAGTTTTTTAGTTTTGCCTTTTCTTGACCTGCCACAAGGAATGCTAGCCAGGTATCCTGTAGCATGTACCCCAACCCACCATTTTCTCATGATTAGATTAGAGGCTTGTGAGGAAGAATACCACTGAAGTGAAGTAAGAATCCTTTTTGTCTCATCATAGTAATGATGGTGGTGGTGTGCCATCAAGTCAGTTTTGACTCTTAGCGACCCTGTATAGGGTTTCCAAGGCTGTAAATCTTTACAGGAGCAGAAAACCTTCTTTTTCTTCCAAGGAACAGCTGGTGGATTGGAACTGCTGACCTTTGGGTTAGCCCAACACATACCCCACTGTGCTCCCATGAGCTGGTTAAGGTGATGTTTGGTAGGTTTCTCTGCTTTTGAGGATTAGCAATTTTTTTTTATTTCTACGCTTTATTCTTAGGAAGCAGGTCATAAAGTCTAAGCCAACTTCAAGATGCTGGAGAGGGGTTTAAATGTCACTTTCTGGAGAGGAGAGTAGCTACATAAATTACTTGGAATTGTTCTGGAAGGAAGATTTGGCTGTTAATTCATGTATTTATTCAGCTATTTACATAGTATCAACTCACATTGTTTATTTTATACTTTGGTTTGTAATCCAATACTACTCAAATTGTTTCAGCTTTGGTCATTGGGAGCTCTTTCAGGTTAGTTCCTGTGTCCTTACGATAATCTTATCCTTTTTGTTTTATGGGCACATCCTTATTTTCTGATTATAAGATGCTCATATTTTTCTTGCCACAGCCTTTCTCCAACTAACCCTCGTTTCTTTTACTGGAGAATGGTATCTGGAAGCCAAGATGTGAGAATTTGGTGTTTTGTTGTTACTTCATTGCCTCTAGGCTTTCTCAATGGACAGAACTAGGTAATGTATGTATATATACTACATATGACTTCATACTGATGACTCACTCTAATCCAGGCAAGGTCCATAGAGAGGATGTATTCTAACCTTCCTTTCTTTTGAATTTAACTTTTCTCTCTGATAGTGAGCATCCTGGCTCTTCTCACTTTCTGCTATCCATTTAGTTACTTGTTCAACCCAGAATACATGTAAAACAGTTTTAGAATTGTTAACTTGTATCTGTGTGAGAAATTTTCCAACTAGAGTACAGTATTTATATACAGTTCCTTTAGCTTTCATCCTTACTATTTCCAGTCAGAATGCCCTTTTCTAAAGTTACTTAGGTCAGCTCCTTTTTTTCCCTTCCTCTTCAGTTTAGTGTGTCATATATCCCTAAAACAGTTGGATGCGTGTCATCCTGTGACCCTGGCATCCTTGTTGACATATTTTGTTTATTTAGTTTGCATACTTAAAGTTCACGCTGTGGTGTACAGTTCTGTTGACTTGAACAAATACACAGTTCCATTTAACTACCACCTCAGTTCCATGTAGAACAGCTTCTCAGTTTGCAAGTTCCCTGTGCATCTCTTTTGTAGTCAACCACTTCTTCCTTTCACTAGCCCTTGGTAACCCTGGTACATTAGGGTATTTCTTCATTCATATTGTTTGGTCTGCTCAAGAGTATCATCTAAATGTCATCATACAGTATCATCTAGACTTTGAGGTCTTCTTTCACTTAACTAAAATCCATTTAAGGTTGAACTAAGATCTGTCACTAATTCATTCCTTTTTATTGCTGAACAGTTTAAGGACATCTTGATTGCTTCCAGGTTTTAATGATTATTAATAAAACTGCTGCAAATATTATAATATTGATTTTCATATGATCATAAGTTTTAACATTACTTAGATATTACCTGCGAGTTGTTCAGATGTATAAATTGCTCTATTGTCTTTCACTGAAGTCCTGGTGTGGCGCTGCAAGATAATACACTGGACTGCAAGGTTCGTTTGAACCACAAGGTTGTCGGTTCAAATCCACCAGCCACTCCTTGGAAACTTCTGTTCAGGGTCACTATGAGTCAGAAGTGACTCAACAGCACTTAACAACGACATTGTTTTCCAAAGTGTCTATACCATTTTATAATTTTATATTGTCACAATCATGTATACTTAAAAGTGAGTGATGGTCTTGAATTTCTATACTTCAGCAGCTTCAAAACACTGCTATAGATTTAATGTTGGAATATAAGCTGGAGATTAAGAAAGCATGTGTACACAACTTGAAAAATGTAGTCAGTGACACTGAATTGCCCATGTAGGAAGTGTTGAATTGGTGTATGTTTGGCTGTGTGTGTTCTCAACAACAACAAAATAAATGTAAAGAAAACAAGATGCATTGTGACAGCCTTGGCAATTATCCAAAGTGAATTTTAGGATCATTAAAAATTTATTTTACCAAGGATACATAATTTTTTATTATAATTCATTGAAACACTTTTAGCAATTGATTTTATAGTTCTATTGAAAATTAGAAATTACTAATAAGATGCAGTGGATTATAGAATTTGTTTTAAGCTGCTGATGTTCTTTATATGTACCTCTATGTACAGGGTCGCTATGGGTCGGACCCGACTCGATGGCACTTAACAACAACAACAACAATGCTTCATCTATGATTGACTCAAAATAAAAGAAAATACTAAATACATTAAGATATTAAAAGTATCATAATGTTCTTTTTGAGCATACATTCTACTGTGAAAATTTGCCTTAGTTTTTCATGCTTATTTCAAGAGGGTAGTAGTTAGTTCTGAGTCAAATCCAACTTAAATTAACCCTCTTGAACAAAGAAGAGCTGCCCCATGGAAGTACCTAGGCTGTAATCTTTATGGAGGAGTAGGAGCTCTGGTAGCGTAGTGCTTACTAATCAGAATGCCAACATTAAGGTTAGTAGTTTGAAACTACCAGCTGTTCCGCTGGAGAAAGATGAGGCTTTCTGCTCCCGTAAAGATTTACAGCCTCGGAAACCCTGTATAGGGTCACTATGAGTCGGAACCGGCTCCATGGCACATAACCAGTTGTGAAGCAGCATTTAACTTTTTTTTGAAAGTGAAACAAATGACTAATCATATATTTACTCAAGAAAGTTAAAAAAAATTTTCTGCACAGACTGTTTTGTAGAGTGCAGTTAAAATAGGAATTCAACAATAGCCATGAGGACTATCTGCAAAACTAGTTTCTTTGAAGGCCCGATGGGCATACTGATTGTAGTATTTAATAACTGCAGATATATTAATGGTTTGGAGTCCTGGTTGGCACTGTTGGTTAATGTGCTGGATTGCAAAGTCCACTTGAACCAGGAGGCCAGAGGTTCAAGTTCACCAGCTGTTCCTTGGAAACTCTATACAAGGTCACTATGTGTCGGAACCCTACTCTATGGCACTTAACAATAACAGCAACAATATTAATGGCTTAATGAAAATTACTCTGTAGAATAATTTGTAGAGTAATTGGTAGAAACAAGAAATGTGGAGAGAACTGAATGCTTGATTTCCTGCATGGATGATCATGTTTTCTGGTTTACCCAGGACAATCCCTTATTCTAGGGTAATTCTTAGTAATGTCCCCATTCACTCTCAAATGTACAGTAATTTATAGGATCACTGTTTGTGAAGAAGTCAATAAATAATACCTAGTCTCATTCTAAGTTATTAAAGAACTTTAGTTTTCGTACTTCTAAGATAAAGAGTTGAATAACTATATCCTATTGTTTTGGGGGGCATTTAACATAACTAAATCTAAATTCTTAAATTTTTGTTATTAATTAAACAAAAGTCATTTGTTATTGATGTCCATCTTTAGGAAATACAACTTTTTTTTTGTTTTTGAGGTAGGATGCTGAATCCTATGTTACATGGGAAAGGAGAAGATAGGACACTATTGCCAAAAACCCTCAAACCTACAGCATAAGGATTTGGGTTGGTTGGTTGTTATTGTTGTTAAGTACTGTGGAGTCGGTTCCGACTCACAGAGTCCCTTCACAGGATTTCCGAGGCTGTAAATCTTTATGGGAGCAGAGCGCCTCGTATTTCTCCCATGGAACCGTTGGTAGTTTTGAACTGCCGACCTTCAGGTTAGCAGCCCAATTCGTAACCACTATGCTACCAGATTTGGTTGGTGGGGATCTTTAAATGAAGACATTTTAATACCTTTTAAAGACAGAATTTAGGGATTATTTTTAAAAGTAAAAATTGGGCCAATAGTCATATCTATACTTGTTAAAGAATTGTGGAATTTAGAGAGAGAGAGTTGTCATTGAATCATTTCAACTTATAGCAAGTCCATGTACATTGAATGAAACATTGCCTGATCCTCTGTTATCCTCACAATCACCACATGTTCATGTCTATCACTGTGCCCTTTGTTCTAGTCCATCTCACCAAGGATCTCTCTTACCCATGCTGGTCTCCGGCTTCAGCAAACCTGGTGTTCACCTATAGCAATTGATCCTTGCTTTGTGTTCAAAGTAAGGCAGCTGGACAGTGTTATGTAGAGATTCATAAAGTTTTCATTAACCAGTTTCCTGTAGATTACAAGGCCTTTCTTCCTAGTGTGTCTTGGATCAGGAACTCTGCTGAAAGTTCACTGCCTTGAGAGGCACTGTTAGTAGTGGAATATCTTCTAGCATCATGGGTACACACAGCAAATAGAGTAGAATCAACTGACAGACAGGTGGTGGCCTCATGACCATTATGTGGTCGGTTTACTTCATGCAACATAAATGGTCCCACATACAACAGAATTCTGTTAGCATCATACAATAAAGATCTCCTATTAGCAAAATCAATAGTAATATTAGACATCCATGATATAGTCTGGGGCACTTTGAGTAAAAACACTTTAAAATTTTAAAGAATAAATTCCAAATAAAATTGTAGAGCATTACCATTTAGTAAAATAAGTATCATGTATAAAATGGGAGTCTGTCGTCTGTAATTTTAAAGTAGCCATGTGTACCAGATAGAGTGGGAGAAAATGTGGAACAGAACTCAAAATTATTAATGAAAAGCACTGGTCTTTCTGGTCAGAAAGAAATAGGAACCCAATACTATGGTCATGGACCACTCTTCAGGTCTGGAAAAGACCTCATCCTGATGACCCAATTATCAGCCAAGCAGTAGATAGGTACATAGGGGGAGACAACAACACTAGTAAGGTGTGCTCACAGTGGGTGGACAATCATTCAAGATCAAAATGGCAACATTTACCCTTTGAGTTGAGAAATGTGTGGAACTGTGGTAAGGCAATAGGAACAGCAGAGAGGAAACGCGATAACTGTTGTTGCCTGGAGGAGATCGCAATCATTGAGATAAAACAAAGTATATGATTTATTGAATGTAAAACTGATGCTTTTGTCTGAAAACCTTCACTCAATTCACAATAAAATGTAAAATAAAATCAAAATCAAAAAAAAAAAAAAAGGTAAAAATTGGTTGCAAAAGTCCAATTGGCTCTGGTTAAATAAAATGTGATATCCTTGAACATTATGTCATTATTAAATACAGTAAATTAGATCTGTATTCACTTAGATAGCTGAGCTAAACTTAAGGGGAAAAGTGAGCTGCAGACTGGTATGAAGAATGTGATCTCAGTTTATTTCATAAATAAAAACTCAGTGAAAACTTATGGGTATGTTTGTATGATCTGTAAGCATGTACTAGACAATTAACAGTGGTAAGCTATTAGGGTTTGGCTTAGAGGGAGAGAAGGTGGATCATTAATTTTTTTACTGTGTATAATTTTAAAAAGGAAAAGACAAGCTTTTTTTTTTTTTTAAGTTTTTATTGTGAATCGAGTGATAATTTACTTGAGAATATTAGTTTTATACTCATAGTTTCATTGCAATGATTACAGTCTCCGTGCATCATCATTCAACAGTATTTGCTTCCATTCCCTCTGTTTGTTTGTTTGTTTTGGAGGGTGAGTACAAAAAACGCTCAGGAATATATGATCATTTATACAACCCAAAGGGCACATTCTGCAAGCCTGCCTCATGGCTGCAAGTATACAGCCTTTCTCTTTCCATGAGTCTAGAGTCCTCAGCTGCCCTCTCTCTTCATGTCCTCATCTCTGTCTCCATCTCTGCTGTCACTGCTTCTCGGGATAGGGTCCTGCATTTTGTTCACACTCTTCTCTCTTGATTGTCCTAGAGTTTTGGTTACAGAACTTCTCCCTTTAATGTTGTGACAGTCGCAATTAATCATGATAACAGTTACTTACATTTGAATTCCCGTATGTTTTCATCAGACTCGTCTAGACAGGATGAGAACTATTCAATAGGGATTCTACCATCCCCGCACACTGTGAAACTAAACTTCTTGAAAACTTGTAAGCCAGTTACTTTGTGCCATTATAGCTCTCCCCCACCCCCTCATTTTAAGTAGCCAGCGTCTAAGTTGCCCATCCCTGTTATCCCTGTATACAGAGGAGATAGAATTGATACTTGATATGAAGACTCCTTCCTTCTTGTTTGGTATTTTGAGATACTATACATCCATAAGTATAGAAAAAAGTTCATCAAATTGTAGCAATTTACACTTGTTTCCTTTATCAAAAACTTAAAATGGGTATAATCTACAAGATTGGGCATTCAAGACAAGCTTTTTAAAGGAAAAATTTTTACACTAGTGTTTTTAAGTGTCATCAAGTCAGTTCTGACACAATGATCTTGAATAGGATTTCCGAGAAGTGGCTTGTGGGTTTGAACCACCAACCTTGCAGTTAGCAGTGCAATGTTTAACCTATAGTTATTAGTAGACATTATATTAATAGACCACATAAAATAAGAAAATAGCCTTCTAACTATGTATAAAAGTAATATGTAACATTTCTTTTTTCCAGTGGACAGACTGGCTCAGGGAAAACATTTACTATGATGGGTAAGTAAATTAAGGGTTAACATTTATTGGTTTGCTGATTTACTTTTTCTGTGATGATAGCACCAAAAGACGTTTTTGGGTGGAAGGCATAATTTCTGTATATGATGTTGAACTAATAAAATTAGGGATGTTTTCCAGGCTTCTGCCAGATTTCTATTTCCTTGTTAGCTGTGTGTCAATCATTCTTATAGATAAGTTCCCCAATTCAAGGCTTTAGTGAATTTGTACATGTTTATACATCTGTATAAGCACCACCCAAATCAAGATTCATAGTAAACTATCTACACCTGTACCTTGAAATGCCCATTACTACTGTCATCATTAGAGGAATGCTAGTGTGGTGCTGTGGAATAATGCGATAGACTGCAAGGATGATTTGAACTGCAAGGTTGGTGGTGAATGAAACTTACCAGCCGCTCTTCAGAAACCCTATACAGAGTCACTATGAGTTGGAGCCGACTCGAAGGTACTTAACAACAACAGTCATCATTAGAGGACTTTTGGTATGGTGCTGTAGAATAAGCTCTGGACTGCGAACCACAAGGTCAGTGGTTCAGACCCACCAGCTGCTCAGAAACCCTGAAACAGGGTCACTATAGTTGAAATCGACTTGATGGCACTTAACAACATTAGTTTTGCTGTTCTTCTACAAATCAAATTATACAGTATATTGTCTTGTTTCTGGATTCTTTCTCTAAATATTAAGTTTTTTAAGATTCATTCATGTTACATTTTTTTCTACGTTCTTTTGAGTCAGTTCTGACTTCTAGCGGCCATGTAACAGAGTAGAAGTATCCTGTAATGTTTTCTAGGCTGTCCTCCTTATGGGAACACATCACTAGGTCTAATTTCCTGCATAGCCTCTGGGTTGATGGAAACTGCCAACCTACTGGTTAACAGTTGAGGACTTAACCATTGTACCACCAGAATTCCTTATCCTATATATGTTGTTACTGTGTACTGCTGAGTCAGTTTGACTCCTAACAGCCCTATAGGACAGAATAAAACTGCTCCATAGAGCTTTACGTTTAAAGGAGCTCTGGTAGCATAGTGGTTATAAATCAGGCTACAAACCTTAAGGTCAGCAGTTTGAAACTACCAGCTGTTCCACGGGAGAAAGACTAGGCTTTCTACTCCTGTAAAAATTTACAGCCTTGGAAACCCTGTACTACAGGTTCACTATGGGTTGGAACTGACTCGACGGCACTTAACAACAACGAGTTTTAAAGCTGTAATTTTTATGAAAGTAAACTGCCACATCTTTCTCTGGAGGAGTGGCTGGTGATTTTGAACCTTGTTCTTTTGGTTAACAGTTAAGCACTTAACCATTGTGCCACAGGGCTCCTGTGTTGCAGTTTATATCCATTGTTGTATATTGTTGTTGTGTGCCATTGAGTCAGTTCTGACTCTTAGCGACCCTCTGTAGGGTTTCTGAGTAGTGGCTGGTGGGTTTGTACTACAGACCTTGTAGATAGAAGTCAAGTGCTTATCCTACAGTGCCACACAAAGAGTCCAGTATGCTATTAAATGACAGTATCACAGATTTTTCATTTTATTATTGGATTGACATTTGGATTATTTTCAGTTTGTGACCATATGAATAGTGCTGCTGTTAACTTTATTTTTTGTATGTGTCTGTGTCTTTTGAAGCTCATTTCTGTTGGATATATGTATACCTACACATGAAATTTCTGGAACATAGGATATACATATAATTCGTTTTAGTCACCCACTGCCATCCAGATGATTCTAACTCATCATGACCCTATATATTGTTGTTAAGTGCCATCAAGTCAGTTCTGACCCATAATGACCCTGTATAAGGTTTCCAAAGAGCATTTGGTGAGCTTGAACTGTCGACGTTGCAGTTCAAATGGCTTTGCAGTCTAGCATATTAACCCACAGCGGCCACACCAGGATTCCAGTGAGCCTGTTTAGTGTTTGTGAAACTCAGTATTTTTGGGAGCACATAGCCTCATCTGTCTCTTGTGGAGTGGCTCGTGAGTTTGAATCACAGACCATGTTGTTAGCAGCTTAGTGCCTAACTCACAGTACCACCAAAGTTTCTTAGTAGTATATATTGTTACACAGTTTTCCAAAGTGGTTTCACATTCTTGCCCACATTTGGTATTGTTAGCTTTAAAAAAAAATAAGTCAGTCTGGATTGTGTGAAGCATTTATCTCATTGTGTATTTCAGTAGTGGTTCTCTGATGTTTAATGACAATTGAACACTTTTCATGTTTTATTGGGTATTTGGATTGCTTTTCTGTGAAAGTCCCATTCAGGTTTCTTTTCCATTTTTAAAAGTAGTATTTTAACTTACTGATTTGTGGTTTTTAAATATTTATATAATAGTAGCGCAGTGGTTACAAATCAGGCTGCTAATCTCAAGGTCGGCAGTTTGAAACTCTCAGCCATTCCATGGGAGAAAGATGAGCTTTCTGCTCTCCTAAAGATTTATACAGCTTGGAAATCCTGTGTGGGGTCACTATGAGTCGGAACCGACTCCACGGTACTTAACAACAACAACAAGAAGCTTTGGTATACATACCTATTCTGTCTGTATAGGAATTTTATCAGATATTTTACATATCTTTTTTACTGTCTTGGCTTTTATTGCTGTTTTAAAAGACACAGTCGTGTACCACATAATTTCTATTCCAGTAACTTATAATTGCATACACATCCATGGTCACAACCCCCATAATGCCCATTATATTAAGAATTTCAGGTACATACTCCTGGTGTGACACTGTAGAATAAATACTGGACTGAAAGGTCGGTTTGAACCGCAAGGCCGGCAGTTCAAACTCACCAGCTGCTCTTCAGAAGCCCTTTACAGGGTCGTTGTGAGTCAGAATTGACTATACAGCACTTATCAACAACAACAACACAGTGGTTTGTAATGAGAAACAGGTGCTACTTCAGGATCCACATCCAAATGTTATTGGTGTATTACTATGTTAAAGATGTTTTAGTGTGTTGGAACTATTTTTTTAATGTCTTTAATACATAGAATAGTACAATATATACTTGTACAATAACACTTGACTAATTGATAATTAGGTACAAACTATACCTAACTATTTTGATTTTTGTACAAATTTAACTTAAAAGATAGACTTAGGGATACAACTTCTTTATAATTCAGGGACTGCCTGTATATAATGTGTTCACACAGAGTCCAGATCATATAGTATCCTGTTTCATAGAACATATCAGACGTTAAACATGCATGACTGTGCTACTTAATGCTAATTTTTAGTACTTAGTGTTTTAAGAGAGTCCCTGGATGGTTTAAACAGTTAACGTGTTTGGCTACTAATCATACCCACCCAGAGGCACCTCAAAAGAAACGTTTGGCTATCTACTACCAAAAAGGCAGTCATTGAAAACCTATGAAGCACAGTTCTACTCTGATACACATGGGGTTTGCCATGAGTTGGAATCAATTCAATAGTGACTGGTTTAAATGTGTTTTCAAGTGCTGCTCTTAACACTTTACCTTTATACTTTTAGTTAATCTTTTCCAACTGCCTTGTGAAATAGTTATTGCCATTATTATCCCCATTTTACCACTGAGAACTCTGAACTTCTAAGAGATTGTCTTATGGTGACACAACCAGTGTAGGACCTCAGTCTACGCTGTTAGTCAGAGCTGAATATCACAAACAATAAGGTATAATTATTTGATATTTCTGTTGATTTGGGTACCTGGCAGTAGAAAACTTAACTTGTTTTAGAACAGAGATAGCAAACTGATTATGCAACGTGTCATCCTTTTTCTGTATAAATTGACTTTCATGTTGCCATTATAAAATAGAATAAAAATGAAGTTTTTTTTCAATTTAACTTTTTAGGACCATCTGAATCTGATAATTTTTCTCATAACCTCAGAGGAGTAATCCCACGAAGTTTTGAATATTTGTTTTTCTTAATTGATCGTGAAAAAGAGAAGGTAAAAGTTAATATTAAAGTAAAGTGGTTCTTTGAAATGTCTAGTTTTGAGTTGTTTGTTACTAGTAATTTGCTTGTGATTCACAGAAGAGCATGGGTAATACTCTCTATTGTGAAAAAGGTAGTATGCTATAAAAAATCCTTCAATTCTTAAGTTAAAATGAAGGTGTTTTTGTTTTTTTTCAGTTTTCATTTTAATTGGGTTTTAGGTGTTAAAAGATGTTCTTTCTTTTAACCTAGATTGCTGGTTTAAGCAAAAGAAGAAAGTAGTGATTCTTAGACTGTCAGATATCAGAGGAGAGAAAGTATAAAGAATATTTTAACCAAGAGCAGATACACTGAGCTCCGTTGCCTGCCTGTACCTAGGCACACTGATAATTTTTTTGGTGTTGCAAGATTCTCTCTGTGTCTGTAGTGAGAGACCCATCCTTACCTCTTTTCTGGTACCTGTTACCTCTTGACAATGAGCCCCTTGATCCACATGTCGTGTAACTCCATACTGGGGTTCTGGTTATCCTTTTTCCATTGACTTCATTTTGGCCATTCTCATGACTACTTCTTTAGCATAGTGAATTTCAGGTTTAAAAGCCATTAGTATTATGTGCTTCTTCATTTGTCTATCAAGGAAACTGATAATAATAATTGGCTTACCATTTCTTCCTACTCTGCAGGAACTAACTCCCTGAAATCATTGCAGTTAGACACATACTGAATACCAGAGAAGTAATTAAATTTAGCATCATGCATTTCTGTAGTTAGAAATCCTATAGAGAGATTTAAAAATTAAGTTTTTAAAGAATGTAATACTTGCTTCAAATATAGCATTACAGGGAAGCATAGGATATAAGATAGCCTGAAAGTGAAATTGCTCAAATAGACTGCCCAATTGCCATATCCCTGTGTTGGTTCAAAAAAGCCCTGGTAGCACTGTAGGATAAAAAATTGGACTGTTAACCACAGGGTTGGCAGTTCAAAACCATCAGCTTTCTTCACTGTCTTCTCCTGTAAAAATGTACTACCTCAGAAACCATATATCATGTCTCTGTGTGTCACAATTGATTTGATGGCAGTGGGTTTTCTGGTTCACAGGCACCTTTGTAAACCTCTAGGGCTCCTGGAACTATGGTTTGGTGCTTACTTAAAGTGTCATAATGTTTTGAAACTATTTAGATTTTTTTTTCATGCTGACTTTTAAATATTTTATATTGTATTAAAAAGTAATATTGTGGCAGATTTGTACTTTATGAAGCAAATGAAAGATTAGGGATAAAAATAATACATCCTAAATAAGGCTTCTTTTTTATAGGCTGGAGCTGGAAAGAGTTTCCTTTGTAAGTGTTCCTTTATTGAAATCTACAATGAGCAGATATATGATCTGTTGGATTCTGCATCAGCTGGCTTGTACTTAAGGGAACATATCAAGAAGGGAGTCTTTGTTGTTGGTGCAGTGGAGCAAGTGGTTACTTCAGCTGCTGAAGCCTACCAGGTATCTATCCTACCTTGAACTTTAGATGCTTATGCAAAAATGCTGTGAAAGCACCTTGAGCTCAAGAGTGAAAACCATTTTGTAGGTCATTGGAGAGAAGGTTCCATCTGTGGTCATATTTCTTTAGTGGTTCCTCTAGGAGGCGCCTCTTTGAGGGGATTCTGGTATCTCTCATTTAAACCAGCTGGTGTTTCTTTTTCCTTTATTATCTATTCTTTCTTATTTGTTAAATGTTAAAAGCACTTACTGGTATCAGAAGCCTACTTCTTTTGAGCATTCAGCTGAGGGCAAATGCCTTGACAAAATAATCTACACTTTTATGAAATCGGTCCTGGCCAGTTGATTTAAGAAAATTATTAATTTTATAATATTTGATACATAAAAATATTGTCATGTGCACAAAAGTTACTAAATATATTAAATGAACTTACAGGAATTCATTAGCCAATTTAAGAGTCAAACATTATGGCAATTCATGTATGTTGCATGGAGTTCTAGTTCATTTATTTTTACTGCTGTATAGTGTGAGGGTACTTCAAAAAGTGTGCAGGAAAATGAAATTAAAAGTTAATGGGAAAGAAAAAAGATAATGGAATTTTTACATGCCTTTTTTTTGTTTTTAATCTTTTTATTTTGAATTGAGTGAAGGATTACAGAGCACATCATCAGTTTTACAGTCAAGAAATCATGTACTTTGTTTCATTACAATGATTGCAATCCCCTCCATGTACTATAAGTTAACAGTATTTACCTCTATTCATTTAACTCTTGCATTCTTACCTGTATCTACTGCCACCTTCGTCTTTCCTTTACCAACCTCCCTCTTGTTATATGAGGGTGAATCAAAAATTATCCGCAGTCTGTTTGTAGAATTTATTTTAATCAACTTACAGAAAAGACAAATACATCACTTTTCAATATTATCTCCTTGCTTTTCAGTACACTTTGCCCATTTGTCAACAAGCTTTTGTAGTACCTTAGTAAAAAGTTTTAAGCTCTTTTTCTTTGGTGTTCTGTATTTTTACTACAATGTGTATAGGTGTGAATGTTACTTTCTCGTCTTTGCCTAGCGTAAAATGCATGTTACTGACTTGGGCAAAATCTCATCCTTAGGTCTTGATGTTTGGCAGCAAAGCTATAAGGCTTTGCTAAAGTAAGTTGTAGAAATGTTTAGAGGTGTATGTGGAGGGGGAGATTACAGAGGACCGAATGAGCCTCACTGTCTGAATCAAGAGACTTTCCATTAAAACTGCACAACCAAAAAGGGACAGTACCTTGTCTTGCGGAACCCATGAGGGACAAAAAAAGAATAGCTGTCATAAAAATCTTATCATTTAAAAGCAATATTAAGTAAAACATGATAAAAGAATTCTGTGATAGAGATGCTAAAAGTACATGATGTAGGTATTTAGTAGGTAATAGTAGAGTATATATGGATTTTTATGTGGTCATCAACTCTTGACAATCTTGTTTCATTTACACCCCTCATTACCTTTCCAGTCTGTATTATGTTAAAGCAAATTCCATATAACATCAGTTCTTCTGTAAATATTTTACTATCTGTCACAAAAAAATTAAAAGAACTATAATATATCATCATACCTACAAAATTGTTGTATAATTCTTAATAGCATCCAATACTCAACCTGAATTCAAAAATTTAATTATGTAAGTCATTGTTTATCTGTATGTTTTCATTTTTCCTGGGTAAGCTTCTAAATGTGGAGTGGCTAGGGAATATGGTAGGCTTATGTCTAACTTTTTAAGAAATGTCCAAACTGTTTTCCAACATGGTTGTATCATTTTTCATTTCTACTAGCAATAGATGAGTATTTGAATTCTGCTACATCCTTACTAATACTTGCAGTGCTGTCTTTTATAATTTTAGCTATTCAAATAGGTAGATAGTGGAAATCTTGTTATTGTTTTAATTTGCAGTTTTCTGATGACTGAGTATTTTTTCTTGTGCTTATTGCTGATTTGTATGCTTGTGAAGTATTTATTCAAATAATCTTTTGCTCATTTCTTAGTTGGGTATCTTATTATTGAGTTATAAGAATTCTTTGTGAAGTCTGAATACAAGTACTGTGTCTGATTCATGTGTTGTAAATATTTTCTCCCAGTTTTTAACTTACCTTTTCATTTTCTTACTAGTATCTTTTGGAAAACAAAGTTTAAAATTTTGATGAAGTCTAATTATCAGTCTTTTCTTTTATGGTTAGTGCATTTTGTATTCCATTTAACCCTTTGCCTATCCCAATATATTTTTTCCCTGTGTTTTAAAGGTTGTAGAGCTTTTTTTATATTTTGTTTTTATATATGGCGAGAAATAAGGGTTCAGTTTTATCCTGCATGCGGCACCATTTGTTGCGAAAAGATTTTTTCTCCATTGGTTTGCCTCTGCACTTTTGTTATCTATACTGTATTCCATTGATCTATGTTTTTGTAAATACTAAACTGTCTTAATTATTATAGCTTGTTGCTGAGATCTTGTAGGGTAGGTCCTCCTCCAATTGTGAGCTTCTTGACAATTGTTTTGGTTATTATGATCCCTTTATTTTCATTTGAATTTTAGCATCAGCTTGTCAGTATCTACCAAAAAAAGCCTCTTAGGATTTCAAGTGAGATTGGATGCATATATATTTTTTATATGTTTGCATTTGTTTTTTTCAGTTTTGTTACATACTCAATAGGGTATTGTTCGCCCTGTTTTTATTGTTGTTGTTTTTATATATTTTGTGATTTTGGAGGGTTTTCTATTTGAGAAGCTCTCGTTTTTTTTGGCAGCTATGTGACTCTGCCATGTAAAAAAATATATAAGATATAAAATTTTGAAGATGCAGCATAAAGTACTATTTTAGAAATATAAAAGATACACAAATTTTGTACTGTGGCTGGTTAATATATACAGCTATAATGGTATACATTACTTAATTTTACTGAAAATGAAATTAAGTAATGTATACACAAAAGAACTTAGAAAAATATTTGGCGTATAATAGTAAGCACTCAATAAATATTAGTCATTATAGCCGTCTTTATTAACCAGCCACAGTCCTGGTGTGGCGCTGTGGGTTAATGCACCAGACTGCAAAGCCATTTGAACTGCAAGGTTGGCAGTTCAAGCTCACCAGCTGCTCCTTGGAAACCCTATACAGGGTCGCTATGGGTTGGAGTCAACCCAATGGCACATAACAACATAGTCTTTGAAGTGTAGGAATTAATTTCTCCATTTTATCCTGTACATAGGAAGAAGCTTCAAAAAGTTGGTGTAAAAATTGAATTCATGGATAATGATTTGTTGCCTATCACTCAAAATATGGTCCTCACACCGTCAGCATCATCTGGGAGCTTGTTAGAAATGTTGACTTTAAGAGCCCTACTCAGACCTATAGAATCAGAATATGTATTTTAACAAGTTCCCCAGGTGATTCATATGGTCTGCCCATGTTTTCAGTTTACAGATACGGGCACCAACCTGTGAAAAGGTTAAACTGGCTCCAGACCACACAGTTAATACATAATGGATTCACATCAACTCTGTATACAGTTTCTGAGATTATAATCTTTATGAGAGCAGAAAACCCCATTTTTCTCTGAAACAGCTGGTGTGTGTGAACTGCTAACCTTTTGGCTACTAGCCTAGTGCTTATTTTACAGCACTATAAGTGATATGGAGCGGGGGAAATTCTTTGTAAACTAAAAGCTTTGGCCTTCCTAGTAACGTAGAGCTTTATTGTCTAACTTTCTCATTGTTTAGGTTGCAAAAGACATTCAAAGAAATTTTGTGGTTTGCATTAAATTAGCACAACTCGAGAGTGGCAAAACTAGTTCTACATCAGAAGGCTTCTGACTTTTTGTTCATTCTTTTTCCATATCCTGGAGAGGAAAAAAAAAAAAGGACAGGGAAAGGAAAATAATTTGAGACTGCCCCTTACTACTCCTTACATATTTCCTACTGGTGATTTTGATGGCTGTTGTGTATTCCTTGTGATTCTAGAATTTCACTTAATGAGGTAGATAACAGTGGTAAGGCCATAGATTCCCAACCCTGTTCTGCAGGGGAATAATCACTGTAAAATATTGTATAAACAGATAATTCAACATATGCCAGTATTTTTCTCATTAAAATGAGTGATTCTCACCTTAAATTAAGTCTTAAGTTTTTCCTTAATGCACTTATTGCTGCTTCTTTTCGTATATTTGTCTTTTGTCTAGGTATTATCTGGAGGATGGAGAAATAGACGTGTGGCATCGACATCAATGAATAGAGAATCCTCTCGGTCTCATGCAGTCTTTACAATTACGATAGAGTCAATGGAGAAGAGCACTGAGACTGTGAACATACGGACCTCCCTCCTCAACATGGTAGATCTAGCAGGCTCTGAAAGACAAAAAGATACCCATGCAGAAGGGATGAGGTTGAAGGTACAGTAAAATTAAGGTCTTTAACTTGTGTGAATTCTGATTTGAAGTTAGTACCAAGCAGTGTTATAGAGGGTACAATGAATAAGAAATTGCTTTGATCTGAATAAAACAGATTTTTGTTATAAGGTGGAGACAGTAAATATACATGGAATAGGACAAGTTTGTTGGAAACAAGAGTGTTTTGAGTTTATACCAGCGGTTGATGGTATAAGTAGCAGCTTAAGAAAAACTAGTCTTTGAAGTAGTTTCAAAAGGAACAGGATTTGGGTAGGAAGAGAGGAATGAGTTATACATGCTTGGCCGGGGCATATCTTATGGGTTATTTTGAATGCAACGTATATGTGGAGTCAGTGGATGTGTTGGGGTTAGATAAGTAGGTAGACCCAGATCGTTGAGGATCAGGAGTGCTGGGCCAAGTTTGTACTCAGTGAATACTAGGAAATCCTTAAGATAGTGATTTCATGAAGAAAACCTCTTTTATAAAAACTTCGCTATCCTGACCACCATTGTCAAGAGGGGAGAACCTAAAGAGAAAGGACGCAAGTTATGCTGTTTAATAGATTGGGGGTTGAAGAGTTAAGGACCTCGTCCCAGGCTAAGGTCCACCTTGGGGGTCCTTAGAAGAAAGGCCTGGTGATCTACTTCTGAAAATCAGCCATTAAAAACTCTATAGCTCACATGTCTTCTTTGACACACATGGAGATGTCAGGAGTTGGAGTGGACTCCAAAAACCATCAGTATTGTTCTTGTTCTTAGGTACTATTGAGTGGGTCTTGACTCATAGCAACCCTGTTGAAGTACAGAATGAAGTACTGCCCAGCCCTACCCCATCCTCACAGTTGTTGCTATGTTTGAGATTTGGGGGCTTTTCGTAAAGGGTAGTAAGAAGAAGACTTGTTCATTGAGGAACAGTGTATGTCTTTGAACATTGCAGTGTACGTCAAATAGGAGCAGAGTAGGGGATAGTTGAACACATCTTTGTGTTGAAAAGTTAGTTTAATACTTTCTCTGCCTTGTTTTTTCAATCGGAGTTGTCATCCCTGCTTAGAATCTTTTAATTCAAAATAACAAAAAGTATCAAACTTACCTACAATTTTTTCTTTTCCCCAATACCTCAGGAAGCAGGTAATATCAACCGATCCTTGAGCTGCCTGGGGCAAGTGATTACTGCACTTGTTGATGTGGGCAATGGAAAACAGAGGCATGTTTGTTACAGAGACTCCAGACTTACCTTCTTGTTGCGGGTAAAGTAGATCATCGGGTTCCTGGGCTCTTTTATTTGATGTCTTGTGATTTCTCACCTGAAAATGTACACTATTCATGTCATTATGTAGGATTCTCTTGGAGGTAATGCCAAAACAGCCATAATTGCAAATGTTCATCCTGGATCCAAGTGTTTTGGGGAAACCCTGTCAACACTTAATTTTGCTCAAAGAGCCAAGCTGATTAAAAACAAGGTAACCATCCTTCTGAGTATATTTTATTAAACAAATTAGAAAAATAGTTGACAGCAACCCATGTTTCCGGTTACCCTAATATTAACCTTGACTTTTATTTATTTCTCTATACAAGCTTTTCTTTGTAACTTTTTATTGTGAATGAAGTAAAGGTTTACAGACAACATCAATTTTATATTCAACAAATAATACACTTTGTTTCATCTCAATGATTGCAATCCCCTCCCTGCAACAGTTGTTATCCTATTTCTTCCCTGTGCCTCCTCATTTACATCTTACATTTCATCAACGAACAGAGCAAAACTATTTGATGTACACATTCAAAACAAAATATATATATTCAATTAAATATCCAAAGAGCACATTCTTCAAGCCAGCCTCCTGTCCGCAGGCACACAGCCTTACTTAGTCCATGGGCCTGGAACCCGTAACTGCTCTGGCTCTCCATGTCACCACCTCTGCCACTGTCTCTGCTGTCTAGGTAAGGATCCAATGGATGCTCCACTCATGCTCTTCCTTCTTGATGATCCTGGGAGCTTCTGTTCCTGAAATGAAAGATGAACTGCTTCCCCCTTTAGTTACACATCTTCTGTAATTACAATTGTGATAATCACAATTGATCCTGCTGATAGTTGCAACTGAAACATAAAGTTCTACCATCATTACCCATTCCTGTTTGCCAGATCCATCTGGAAAAGAGGGACATTATTCAGTGGGGATTCTACCTTACTCCCTCATTCTGAAACTAGGCACACTCATAAAAGCTTGAGAGCCAGCCACTCATGTCTTTATAGCCAGTTTTGATAGCCAATGTCTAAATTGCCCATCCCTATCAACGAAGTCCTGGTGTGGCGCGGTGGGCTAATGTGTCAGACTGCAAAGTTGTTTGAACTTCAAGGTCAGTGGTTCAGGCCCACCAGCTGCCCCTTGGAAACCCTATACAGGGTCGCTATGGGTCGGAATTGACTCAACGGCACTTAACAACAATAACAACAATCAACACATTACGGAGTCCTGGTGTGGCGCTGTGATATAATGCATCAGACTGAAAAGTCATTTGAACTGCAGGGTCAGTGGTTCAAGCTCAGAAGCTGCTTCTTGTAAACTCTATATGAATTGGAATCGATTCCAAGGCACTTAACAATATTAACCCAGTACACTGAGGAGTAAACAAGCTTGTTCCTTGATATGAAGAATCCTTCCATTCTGGTTGAAGTTTTGAACACTATATCCATAAGCAAAAGTTTGTAGCAATTTATACTTACAGTATCAAACTATCTGGTCAAGCTCTGGTCAGCTAGCCATCCAAGCTAGCTCAAATGGGTACTAGCTTCAAGTTGGTAGGGTTCACACATACCTACCTACTTGAACTTCAGATTGACTGGCTACTTTACTCTCAGCCTTTCCCCCCAGGGGCTTGGTTAGTGCCCATGGACTCAGGAGTTGACACATCTTCCTAACTGCAGTTAGTCCTCCAGTGCTTCTCCTACAGTGTTACCAGGGCTCCTTTGTAAAGGGCTTGTTGTTAAGTCCCATTGTGCCAGTTGCAAACCATAGTGCCCCTGTATAGGGTTTCTGAGGAGCAAATGATGAGCTTGTGGTTCAAACCGACTTTGGAGTCCAGTGCATTAACCCACGTTACCACCCCAGGACTTTTGTAAAGAGCTGGTTATTGGTGGTTAAGTGCCATGGAGTCGGTTCCGACTCATCGCAACCCTTTACAGGGTTTCTGAAGCTGTAAATCTTTATGGGAGCAGCTAGTAGTTTCAAACTGCTAACCTTGCAGTTCGCAGCCCAAATTGTAACCACTACACTACTAAATCTCCTTTTTGTAAAGGGCTAGATGGTATATATTTTAGACTTCTTTAACCATTTTGTGTCTTCCCAACTACTGAATGTTGTTATGTAATGAAGAAAGTAGTCATAAATAATATGTTAGCAAATGACATGGCTGTGCTCCAGAAAAGTTTATTTACAAAAATGCAGTGGGCTGGGTTTGGCTCATGGAAGTAGTTTGTCACCTGCTGGTGCAAACTGCAGAATGACCCAGGAGTGCACCACTTGTTTTGGTGAGGTTGGAGACATTCTTGGTTCTAGATACAAGAGTCCTGGTACCACAAATTGGTAGATTAATTTCCTGTTTTCTTCAAGGGAGACAATTGGCTATTCTTATTTCAAGAGTAAACTCCATGATCATTTAATTATAAGAGCAAAAAAGGTCCATGTTGTAGCTTCCCTTTTAGCTAAAATAGTGCCCTCAACACTTGAAGTAGTCATATACTGTATTAAAAGAAGTGTAGATGATTTAGTATATATTATGTTTTGTAAAGTTGCTGCAAACACTGAATAGCAAACGATAAGCCATTACTTTTAGAAGAAATACAAGGTTAGTTTTTATAAGCATTTTCTTATAAAACATTCTTACATTTTCTTATGGTTGGTAAAATAGAAGGTCAGTATAAACAAGAGAATCCCTTGGTGAGACAGATTGCCACGTGGCCAAAACAATGTACTTCAACATAGCAATGATCATAAGGGTGATGTGGGACTGGGCAACATTGTATTCTGTTACACACCATGTCACCATAAATCAGAGTAGGAGGCTAGTACCAACAACTTCACTTTTTGTGTTTTTCTGTTTAAAGATACTTTAAGATATATTGTTAATTCATTAACTTTGAATTCATAACAATAATACGTTATTGTTCATGTCTGAACAAAGCTTATCTAATGTACATATTTTCTCACACAGCCCTATCTTCTCTAAGGTACCTCACACACCTTGCATTTAGAAACACTAAACATTACTTCAGCACTATTCTTAGACAGCCATTTTAAACAGGAAATCACCAACATATAGCACAAAAATGCAAAATACGTACAAAATAATCCTTGAAAAGGTTACTTATTTATAGTGTGAGAGTTGAAATACGAAGCCATAGCATTGTTTTGTTTTACCTCACCTGGGAATAGATACGTTGAGTGACTCAATTTTTTGCCACTCTGTGCATGTCCACAAATAACCACAAAAGCGTTGCAAGTGTTGATTTTGGATTTACAAATACATTTTAGCAAGTAGTCACATTTGCAAGTACAGAATTTATGGATATGAGGATCAACTTGTAAGCTTTGTTTCTATTCTTTCTTTTGTAAATTAGATTTCATATTCTAGGGCCACACCTTGGTAAATGAAGAATACTCATTCATTGTTTCCTTAGATTATGATCATTAGTTAGGTATTTGTAATATAAAGAGAAAAATGACTAGAGCTTTCTGAACTTATTTCTTGGTGTCTGTCAGTTTATTTTAGATTTTAGAGAACTATAGTGACCATTAGAATTATGGTGTCACCAATGTGATAATGATGTCAGAATGTACAGGCATGACTTATGAGGCTGGCCATAAGAACTGTAAGCAACTAGAAATAACTTCTTGACATATAAACCAGCAACTAGAGCCTTATACCAATCACTATCAATGGTAAGTCCTTCTGCTGTAGCCTAGCAGTGGGAAGTGCCTTATTGTTAGTGGCCAGGCTATCTGAGATTTTAAGGATGAGCGGTTTAAAATTTTCCCAGTGGGCAAGCTAGGCTTAAGATAAGATCAAAGGGGGCCTTGGGATTGCCTATGGGTTTTTCCCCTCACTGAGTATTATTTCAGAACTGGGTACCTTTGACCTGGTTGGTGTTCAACTGTTGACACTCATGATCACCCTATTGGTTTTTGAGGCTTTTAAAGTCCTTTTAGTAGCTGTCTCAAATAAGACATTTTTTTAAGGAAATGAAGATCTTGTTTAATGTTGTAAAAACTAGATTGAACTGTAAAGCCACCTTATCCTTTCAGGAGGACTGTTGAGAAATGCATGGTTGGGTTTCTCTGAGAGAGGTTGTTTCTGCCAAGTTGATGGTCCTCAGGCCAGTCCTTCAAGTCATCATGCTCCTATAGACTTAGACTGTGTTGTCACTATATGCCAGGACAGAAGGGAGATGACACCCACTGAGGTGTCTGCTCTTCTCTAGGGGTAAGAATCTGTTCTTTAGGAGAAGTAAGTGGTAGATGAACATACCCTAGATCTCTAGGGTGATCTAGTCCAAAAGCACCCAGGGCTGGTCAGCAGAGGGGAAAAGTAAGTGGAAACCCAGGAGAGGAGGAATAAGGAGGGGCAGACAGCCTGCTGACACTGGTTTCTTTCTGACATTGATTCTGGTGGCCTTTGGACTTTGGTAAGATAGAAGTCCAGCTTTATTTACTTCACTTCAAATCATACAAATAAGTAGACACAGCTTTGTACAACTGAAAGAGTGTACTATTAATGCTTCCTTTAAAATTTTTGAATAGGCAGTGGTAAATGAAGACACCCAAGGAAATGTGAGCCAACTGCAAGCTGAAGTGAAGAGGCTCAAAGAACAACTGGCCCAGCTTACTTCAGGACAGATACTACCAGAGAGTTTTCTGACCAGAGGTAAGATGAGCAACATGTCCTTTATCCTGGGAAAGATCATATGCTACTATTAGTATAAGAACCCTATATGATAGATAGGCACATGATAAAACTACCAAAAATTTTCCACAAGTACATGCCCATATTTATCCCTTTCTGTTTATTTCACTTACACAGGAACTTAGTGCTTTCATCTGGTACACATACCATAAGTACCGAGTTCTCTGAGATATACTGACAAGAGGGACTCAAAATAATTTTGAATAATTTATCCCTAATACGTACTAAAAAAATACTAATACATTATATTTAGATCCACTTTTAAGATTCTATCATACTGTTGTTGTTAAGTGCCATCGAGTCAGTTCTAACTCAGCGACCCTATATATGGTTTCCAAGGAGTGGGTGGTATGTTTGAACTGCTGTCTTTGTAGTTATCAGTCCTTACGGTTCAAACTGATCTTGTGGTTCAGCGCATTATCCTGCAATGCTACACCAGGCCCCCACTGTTTACTAACTAGGATAAGAGAAATTTTATTTTTCTTTAAAGAATAGTGTTGTTAAGTGCTGTTGAGTCAATTCTGACTCATACAACCCTGTCTGGATAGGGTTTCCAAGGAGCCAGCTGGTGGAGTTGAACCTCTGACCTTGTGGTTCAAAGTCCAGCGCTGATCCTACTGTGCCACACCAGGAGTCCAGTGCAAACATGTAGCATGGGTTAGTTTGAAGTTTTAAGATCATGAGGGTGAATTAGGTTATCAAGAAAGATAGGCACACAACACAGGCCAATAAGGCTCCCCCAGTTTATTTTAGATCCACTTCTTAGATTCTGCCAAACCATGTGTAATCTGTATGTGTTAACTAAATAAAAACGAGAAATTTATTTTTCTTCAAAGAATAATTTGTAGAATAGGTTACTTTGAATTCATAATCCCGTGATGATAATCTGGCTCTTTTAGGTTAATAGAGAGCAGTCCATCAAAGATTGTCTGTTTCAGTTCATCTCTTGGTTTTAAAATTTTGAAAATTAAACCTTTCTTACATCTTCATTTTCCCTTTCTTACTGGATCAGTTACAGACCAAGAGAATACTAGTTATGTGAAGTGTTTCTGTGAGGCAATGTTATTCTTTAAGAAGTCTGAACAGGAAAGAAAGGTAAGAAACTGAATTTAGTATAATGAGAGTTCAAGGTGATTTTACTTTGTACTATGTGGTTATTAATGCCTTACTTAGTAAATGGCATCAAGTAAATAAAGGAAGACTAAAAAGTCTAATTTTGTGTTTAAGATTAAATGTGAATTAAAACATCATCTATATGAGACAAATGGTCAATAATTACTGTAAAACAAAGATGAAAATATAAGGGGGAAAGGAAGGAAACTAGATTAATAGAAATGGAAAAAGTACATGCGTTGTAGAAAATGTAACTGAACACTTTATAGAGAAATTTTTGAATGGCAACCTAAGCTGCTATATAAATTTTCACTGAAAATACTAAGATTAAATGTGAATGTAAAAAAAAAAAAAATTTGTATTTGTAGGTTTATGAAGATTTAGAGAAGCTGAGTAATTTTTCTTATTTAACCAAATTGTGACCTTTTTAAGGCTCTGATAGAAAAAGTTACCCAATTAGAAGACCTCACCATCAAAAAGGAAAAATTTATTCAGTCTAATAAAATGATTGTAAAATTTCGAGAAGATCAAATTATGCGTCTGGAGAAGCTCCACAAAGAATCCCGGGGAAGTTTTCTGCCTGAGGAACAGGATCGTTTGCTCTCAGAATTAAGAGATGAGATTCACACTTTGCGAGAACAAGTGAGCACATGGCATTTGAAAACAAATTCAGAGTAAATATAAATGTGTCCCGGAATTCTTGTAGTTAAATGGAAATTAATTGTTTTAACTTAATGTCAACTGATAGAGAAAAAAGAATTATAGAATCATACTTCATTCAAAATAGTAGAATTTGTAGGGAAAAGGTAAGAAGATTTGGTAGTGTTGCTACAATAAAGTTACCCCAGCAGGCCAAGTGTACTTTTGTTTTTTGAAGCATGTAGTATGCTTTATTTTGAGATATGTGATAGTTTACAGGGGAGAACATGAGCTTCACAATGATCCCATCGTATATTGGTTCCTTGCCATGGTTACAGTCCCCTCCATGCATCATCCACCAACCACAGGGTATACCCCACAAGCCTGCAGCCCCCCCTCCCCCCCCCCCCCCCCCCGAAGATCCTTACCCTCTCCAGGTCCAAAGTCCCCAGCTGCTCCATCTCTCTGCGTTGTCATCTCTGCCTCCATCTCTGGCATCACCGCTTCCCTGGGTAGGGTTCCGTTCTCTGCTCTTCTCCCTTGATGGTCCCGGAGACATCCGCCCCTCGACTGCAAAGTTAATCCCTCCCCTCACTTTGCTACAAAACATCTACCTTTATATTTCCAGCCCTTACAATCAGTCCTGATAACAATTATTCACCATTGTATCACAAGAGACCTATCCGCATCTCCTTTCCTCGACCCCGCATAGACAGATTGGAAACTATTCAGTGGAGATTCTACCTTGCTCCACGCCCTCTGGATGTAGGGTCCCTCTTGAAAGCTTGTAAGCCAGTCACTTTTTGCCTCTGTAGCCCCCCTGTTCTGGGTAGCCAATGTTTCCTCTTTTGCTTCCATAGGCGTAGGTCAGTTTCATCAAATTGTATCAGATTGGTTTTTTTTTTCCCTCTTCTTTCTTCTTCTGGTTGAGCTCTGATCGGTTAGCCATTGAAGCCAGGTCAGGTGGGTATTATTTGCAAGTGTGGGTGTTCTTGTGCATGTGTCCTCTCTTCTTATCAGCTGGACGCTTTACTCTCCACTCTATTCTAGTCCTCTGTGGCATGTCACTGACTCTGGGCCCAAGAGTCCCTAAGTCTTGCCACACTGCAGGCCACTACTTTTACTCTAGTGGGCAGTTGTGGTAATTTGAACATTTAATCTCTTTAGAATTGAAACTTTCAGAAGGTTTTTACTTTGTTCCACCTTGTCCCTGGGGAGAATACATAGGTAGTAACAGGCCAATGCCCATGGTTAAAAAGCAAAGACATCTATTTTTAGTTTTTTTGTGTGCCTTTCCTGAGTTTTTTAAATGCTCATTCAAACTAATACAGGTGGTTTTATTCCTTTTGTACACAAAAGAAAGCGCACCATATGTACTTTCATGCACCTTGCCCATTTTACTTAGTATTGTATCTTGGAGGACATTCGCACTTGATGATCAATATCCTTATTCTTTCCCACATACCTACCACACAATAGTTTGGCCCCTTTGCGTGAAGAGTGTTACAGTGCATACCCTTGTATGTATCTTCTTCGTCACCTGAGAGAAAGTTGTAGAATTCAGATGTAGAATAACAGTTGTTATATGAACATTTCAATTTTATCCCATTTGTTGATTTTACAGCAAGACTTGCTCATTAAGGAAATTATATAAATGTTTACTATGTGAAATTCTTCTATGTCACAGATAGAGCACCACCCCAGAGTTGCAAAATATGCGATGGAAAATCATTCCCTCAGGGAGGAGAATAGAAGACTGAGATTATTAGAGCCTGTGAAAAAAGCCCAAGAAATGGATGCCCAGACCATTGCAAAACTAGAAAAAGCTTTCTCTGAAGTATGTGACACAGAGAAAAACAACAAAGGTGATGAATGATTGTATAAATACCTTGTATAAGGGAAGCTGTTTCAAAGCACATTTGTAGTATATTACACTTGGAGTAATGTTAGCCTCTAGACTTGTTCTGCTTAATATGTTTTTTTCTCAAACTTATTGTGACTTGAATGAACGTTTATAGAGTAGATTATCAATTTTATATTCAACAAACCATACACTTTGCTTCATTACAATGATTGTAATTCCCCTCCATGTACCATCAGTTACAGTATTTACCTCTATTTGCTCTAACTATGCGTTCTTTCCCGTGTCTCCCACTACCTTCATCTTTCCTCTATTAATGCCTCTCTTGTCACCATGTTAACATGTGTCTGCCCTCTAGTCCATAAATAACTTTCCCTCCCCCGTAACCATCATCGATTGTTTCTTTTATTAAGAAAATGTTTTTATTAACTTTTTACAACATTGGTCTCAGTATTTCTCATTTTGTGATTTACTTATTTCATTCAGCATAATGTCCTTCAGGTGTTTGTCCATGTAGTTCGGTATTTCAAGATCCAACATTCCACACTGGTGGAAAAATGGAGAATATCTTTACATTTTTGCCTTTGTGTTTTAGGATTGTGTTCATTTGTTTTAAAATTATACACATGTATTTATGTGAATACAGTTGATTTTGCCATTTTTAAAAGAGTATTTTATTGATAGACTACAGACCTTTTTAAAGTGTTGAAGAGCAAACGTGTCAGCTTGAGGATTAAGATGCGCTTGACTCAAGCCATGATATTTTCAATTAACCTCATATGCATGCAAAAGTTAGACAGTGAATAAGGAAGACTGTAGAAGAATTGATGCTTTTGAGTTGTGGTGTTGGAGGAAAATATTGAAAGTGCCATGGGCTGCCCATAGAACCAACAGATCTGTGTTAGAAGAAGTGCAGCCAGAGTGCTCCTTGTAGGCCAAGATGGCCAAACTTGATCTCTTATACTTCAGACCAGTCAGGAGGGACCAGTCGCTGGAGAAGGATAACATGTTTGGTAAGGTGGAGGGTCAGAGAAATAGAGGAAGCCCCCAAACGAGATGGATTGGCCAGGTGGTAGTATTGATGGACTCGAGCATAGCAATAGTGGTGATGTTGGCCTAGGATCGGGCGGTATTTCATTCTGCTGTGCACGGGGTTGCTATGAGTCGGTACCGACTCGATGGCACCTAACAACAACAATAAACCATCTAGCCTGCATGGACTGACATGGAAGATGTCAAAGAGATATGTAAGTGTAAAGTACAAGTGGCAAAACACTCTGTGTATTATGAGCCAAACTAAGATGTGTATGTTTTGTAGATGTATAGACCAAAAGGTTTGGAAAGATATGCACCAAACTGCTGGTAAGTGTTTCTCTGAGGCAGTTGGGAGGTGGGTTCCAGAGAAAGTTTACCAGAGCCTTTCACTTTCTCTACTTTTTTTCATTTTGTTCTGTTTAAATATTTTTTTTAAGTATGTATTAGTTTTGTAATCAGAATTTTTAGAAAGTATTTGACTATTTTAAAGTCTTAGGTATGTTCAAACCATCTGCAAAACTACTTAATTTTTAGCTTTAATTTTTTCCATCCAAGAAGGCAGGGTAGCTTTTTAATGCCAATGTGAAATTTAAATTTAAATGGTCTTATGTTTCTCTTGCTTTGTGGATGAAAAATATTGCTGAGTGGTAGTTTTCTGATAGGTAAATCATGTCTTCTTCTCTTGTTTCAGAATAAATATTTTGTAAAATGAAATAGAAAAAAAAAAAGTGAAATGCAGTTACAATGTTGCCTAGTCTTCACTGTCATTGTGTGTATGTACCAGTGTTTGTTCAACCTTGATTCTGTTGATGGATGTTTTAAACTGTCTCCATCTTTTTGATGTGCCTTTGTAGATCACATATTGAAGGATACTGTTTTCTTATCCATTCTGCTTTCCCTGTCTCTTGACTGGTACATTTAATCTCTTCACATTCAGTGTAATTTTTGATAAGTATTAGTTGATTCCTGTCATTTTATGCCTGGTAAATGAGAAGTTCTATCAAGTTTCTGCCTTTGTTATTGGTTTCTTTTTCTAAATAATCTGTAGACTGTTAGGTGTTGCTATTAATTTCTGCTAAGTTCAACTGTTGATGTTTCTCTGTCCAGCATTATGCATATTGTACTTTACTCCTTGTTTGTGCCTTCTTCAACTGGAAAAGGTATTGCTTTAATTATGACCAAACATCCATCCTCTGGCCTCTCGACTCCTTAATGAAACTTCAAATACTGCTTGATGAGTTATGTTGACGCCTGCTGAGTTTTAGACGCTTGTGGTTTACATCTACAAACCCATTTCTCTTCTTTTCCCTCCTGGTGCCTCAAATTGAGACCTGAAAAAGCACTTGAAAAATGTGTCATGTTTCGTTATTTCAAAAACTGAACTTGTTTTCTTATTAGCAGGTCAGCAAGGTTTCTCTCCTAAAGTTGCAAAAGAGCCATGTTCATTGGCAAACTCTGAGAAATTAAAAGCACAACTCCTGCAAATTCAGACAGAGCTGAATAATTCAAAGCAAGAATATGAAGAATTCAAAGAACTAACAAGGTAGAGTGTACATACACAAGAATGCATGCTTACCTATTTTAATGCTAGTGTACTGTAGGGTGTAACATTGATAATTTTATTGGAATTTCTGCTTTAAGTATTAAAATCCATAGTAGCATCTAACATGTTTGACATGAATAGAGAAAGCTTGCTTCTAGGTCTTTACATTGTTTTTAGTGACTTACATGATATGAATATTTAAGTGACGTGTCTGTTCAGATTAGTGTTGAATTTACGTTGTCAAATCTTTATCTGGTTAATGAATAAGTTACTATTGTTAGGAATTATAGGTTTATTAAAATTCTTGCTTGATGTTCATTGTCTAAAAGAAGACAAAGATAAATAATATTAAAGATAATTCATATTAAAACTAAAATTAATCATCTCTTAAAATACTAGACACTGTAGTGACTCATTAGTTAGTTAAGTGTTCAGCTGCTAACCAAAGGTTGATTGTTCTAACCTACCGAGCAGCTCCGTGTGAGAAAGACCTAGTAATATGCGTCTATAAAGAATACAGCTCTACTCTGTTGTTAGTGTCCTTGACTTAAAAATCAACTCCTACCTAATCATTTAACAGAACCTAACATCAGCAATTGTATAATTAAAGAAATGGGTGTTTTAAAAATATTTTATATTTCTTCTTTATGGAGTATTTGGGATTTTGAATTTGAGCTGTACTATATATAACAACAACAACATATATGAAAAGGGAGTCCTGGTGTGGTGCTGTGGGTTAATGCACTGGGCTGCATAGTCGGTTTGAACTGCAACTTAGGCGGTTCAAGCTCACCAGCCACTTCTTGGAAACGCTATATACAGTGTTGCTTTGAGCCAGAATCGACTCACCAACACTTAACAATAACAATTTACATAAAGGAGTCCTGGTGTGGCGCTGTAGGATAAATGTGGGACCACAAGTCAGTTTGAACACCAAGGTCAGCGGTTCAAACTCACAAGGCGCTCCTTGAAAACCCTGTACATGGTTGCATTGAGTTGAAACCAACCCAGTGGCACTTAACAACAACAACAACACCTTAAATGGAGTCCTGGTGTGGCGCTGCAGGATTGTGTGCCAGAACACAAGGTCTGTTTGAACTATAAGGTTGGTAGTTCAGATTCACCAGCCACTCCTCGGAAACCCTGTTCAGGGTCGTTATGAGTAGGAACCGACTCAGTGGCCCTAAACAACAACATACCTTAAACCAGCCATCAACTTCTATAAGCTGTGTTTTACCCAATGGAAAATGAGGGTAATAATCTAAGAGAATAGCTCTGATTGAGTGACAGCTATAAAGTTAATGTGACAAAGTATTCTGCAAATGCATGAAATCCTGGAATGGTGCTGTAGGATAAATTCAACGGCACTTAACAACTACAAATTTATGAGAGTATTTATTTTCAACTTTATAATATCTTTTAGGAAGAAACAGCTAGAATTGGAATCAGAGCTTCAATCTTTGCAGAAAGCGAACTTAAATCTTGAAAACCTTTTGGAAGCAACCAAACTCTGCAAGAGGCAAGAAGTTTCTCAGCTGAATAAAATTCATGCTGAAACACTTAAGGTAGGTAATCTGTGTACCTCAAGGGGTTGAGTGGAGTAGTAAAGTGTGCAGCATTTAGAATCTGACCTGTGTTTGAATTCCAATCTGACAGTATAACCTTAGACAGGGTTTTCTTACTTCTGAGCCCCATGTTTCCTTTCTCTGAGTTGGAGATGAGGATAATTTAACTGCAGGCTTGTTAGAGATCACTGATAAAATGCCTGGCATGGAGCTGGTCTCAGTCAATAACACAACTTTTCCCCCTAAAAACCATATTTCTCAAAAAATAAACAAAATGTTCAAGCATTTGTGAGGTGAGCGAGAAAGGGAAATACTAAAGGAAAGCTCGAAGGTGGAAATGACTTTATATTTTGTACCCAATCCTCTGAAGCTTAAAAAGCTTTCCTTATATATCTTAAACATTTTTTAATTAGATTTTTATATACTTACGATTTTTTTTTTAAAAAAACAAAACAGTGCTGAGTTTTGTAGAAGACTTTTTTTGTTGTTCACATGCCATTGTAAAGGAAGTAGAGTGACAGGTGTCTATCCTTCTGATGTCCTCCCACCCATCCAGAACCCTTCTGGGAGGCAATTAATGTTACTAATTCTTTGTGTTTTGTTTTTCTTTTTCTTATTTTCTTTTGTATACAAATGGTAGCATATTGTGCACGTTTCTTTTTACACGGTGGGTTGTTTTTTGTTTGTATTTTCCTTAAGTATAACTATAATGTAGAGTTAATACCATATCTGAGAGAAAAAGAAGTGTTTTTTGTTGTTGTTGTTTTTATTTTGCTCAAAATATCTATTTTCCGAATGTACCATGATTTGACCTGCAAAGTACACTTTTCATTTTTTTGCTTTTTAAAATCTATTCCAGTAGGAAATTATTTTTAAAGACTTGCATAGTATTGCCAAATACTATATATGACACCATATTTGTAACAAGGAGTACTGTTGGACTGCTGTAACCATAAGGCCTGTGGTTCAAATCCACTAGCTGCTCCATGGGAGAAAGATGAGGTTGTCTGCTCCCGTAAAGAGCCATAGTCCCAGAAACCCTATGGAACAATTCTACCCAGAGGGTCTTTGAGTTGGAATCAACTTGATGGCAATGTGGGTGGTTTGTAGTACTTTAGCACAGTAGAATTATAGAGCTTGAATGAGATTAAGAAAATAAAGTTTGCCAAGGGTAGCATAGCAATTCAGATAATTTCCCTCGTTGCTAGTATGAGGGAAATAATTTTTTTGTAAATTCAGTGTCTATTTGTATATCCTTAATCTCATTTGCATATTAGAAGTTTATCTGTTTCTTCTTATTGATAGGACTTTTATGTGTGAATCTTCTCTTACATATGCTGTCATTATATTTCCCTGACATGTTGCTTATCTTTTTATATTTGATACCTTTTATTATACAGAAGTTTTGAATTTTTTTTTTAATGTTAGATTTATATTGTGGATTGAGTGAAAGTTTACAGGGCATATAATCAGTTTTACATTCAACAAATCATATACCTTGTTTCATTACATTGATTATAATCCCCACCATGTACCATCAGTTAACAGTATTTCTCTCTGTCCACTTTAGCTTTTTAAAAAACACACAAACAAAAAACCCCAGTAAAGCATATATGATAATTTACATCTCCAAAGGGCACATTCTGTAAGTCGGCTCTTGGCCACAAGCTCTTAGTACTTCTCTTCTTAGTCCGTGAATCTAGAGTCCTCAGCGGTCATAAATTCCCCCAACTGTAAGCCTTCCAGCCTTCTAAATATTACTTTATATGTGGTTCAAAGTCCTGGGACCATCCCCTGAGGCTACTTGGTCAGATATCCTGTGTTGTTGCTGGTGGAGCTCTTTACAACACTTCCACCCAATCCGTCATCTTGTTTGTTCTCAAGTTTTGAAATTTTGATGTAACCAGGTTTATTTTATTTTTGTTACTTCATTTGTATCTTTTTAAAGATCCAGATAAACCCAAGATCTTCATATTCTATTTTTTTTTAAGTATTTTATATGAAAATTTTATATTTTTTTTCTTTAATACAGCTTTAGTAATATTTTTGAATGATATGATATATAGAAATCTTAACTTTTTTCAATTGTCTTCACTTTTTCACCACAACTTAAATTTCTACATATAAACGTTTCTAGTGGCTATACCCTTATGTCTTTTTATGTTGGCGGGGGCTGCCTCCCCAGTTGTTCTTGTCTTTTCTTTGGATGAAACTTGAAATCAAGTTTAATCTGAAAAAAAATGTTTTTAGAATTTTGTTTGGGACTGCATTTAATTGATGGGTTTGTCTCTATTCAGGCATGTTTATGTCCTGGTGTGGGGCTGTGGATTAATGTTCTGGACTACAAAGTGAGTTTGAGCCTCAAGATCAGCGGTTCAAGCTCACCATCTGCTCCTAGGAAACACTATGCAGGGTTGCTAGGGGTCGGAACCAACTCAATATCATTTAACCACGACATAATGCTGCCTCTCAAGCACACTTTTTTTAGTGAATAATTCTATGTTTTCTGTTCTCAAGAGTATGTGGGGTTTTATTATTATTATTTAATGTGTACCAATGTTATCCCTAATCATTTTTTTTTTTTTTTTGCTGTAGATTATAACTACACCAACTAAGGCTTATCAAATTCGATCTCGACCAGTTCCAAGATTAAGCCCAGAAGTAGAGAGCTTTGTCTCTGTGCCTGCTCAAAATTACAGCAAATTAGATGATATCTTCAATGAGCCAATTCCACCTGAAATGAATGAACAAGCTTTTGAGGCCATCTCTGAGGAGCTTAGAATGGTGCAGGTAATGTTTAGTTTTAAAATAAACAAACATATGAATGGATGTTCATTTTAAACAAATTTCCTTTGCCTATTATTTTAACTCTGTAATGTGCTACAGTCAAATCTAGTTAATATTAAACTATTATCTTACGTGTGAGCAGTGTAGAGATCCCTGCCTTAAAAATCAGCCCTCTTGTGTTCTTTTCATTTCCCTTGCAGTTGTTTGTAAGACACTCTCAGAGCTCCTTGGCCTTTGATGTCCTCGTGTGTAAAATAACCAGTTTGATACTAGTTTCAAATTCCATAACTAGTTTATTATGGCACAATGCTGTATCTGCTGCCAAAAGTAAAAATAGTTGTAAGAATCTTATCACACATCAAATATATAGACAGCTTTAAGGATATTTGAAATAGCATATGAAACTTGATTATTTCCCAATTCTGGTGACTTGGTAAATTTTTTGAAGAACTTGTCTACTCTCTTTCCAAGTCCCAGTAATTAGCCCTTTCAAGGGTATGGAGACCACGTTCCTGGTAAGGTCATCTCTGACAACCCTGAAGTGCTTAGTGAAAGTCTCATGGCTGTGCTATGATTTAATCCACATTTTTTGTTTTAATCATTTCTTTGTGTTTCAATTGATCCACATTGGTGTAGACCACAGTGTAATTCTGAAACATGGGAAGTCTGAAGCATGTGATCTTCTGAAATTGTTTCTGGCTCCAAGCAGACCTTTGACACTTTGTGCATATGAGGTTTTTCTTTTTTCTTTCTTTTTTTAATGCAGAAGAAATGGTAGACTGTTTAAGAATTCCACTAAAAGAATTTTTGACGACTGAAGTTTTTTTGTTTCAGGAACAAATGAGTTCTCTTCAAGTAAAGTTGGATGAAAAAGAGCATAAAAACGTAAAGCTTCAGCAGCAAATTGACAAACTGGAGCATCATTCTGCACAAATGCAAGAGGTGAGACTGAGGGTGCATCCTCAGAAACTGTGTGAAACTTAGTCTCAGAGTAAGAGTATTATAGACAGAAGCTGACCCTTAGTCATGGCTTTGTTTGAGTAGTATTCTCTACTTTGTTGATTCGCATACCCACTCTGATAATAAGAAAAACATTCTTTGGCCTGAGTTCTGCTTAACATAGCTCGGAATACAAATGGATTCCTTTCTGTTTGTTTGACAGTAAGCAAAGTGGACAGTTGTATTTTAACAGTGGTCATGCTCAATCTTCTTCATGGAATCAACCAATTTTTTTTTAGCTGGAGACATTGAAACTGGATTCGAAAAACAAAGCAGGTTAATAATTTAAAGTATGTCTTAACATGCCAATATCCTTTTTCCAGTAAATTTTTTCCCCCAAAGCTTTTCTTATCAGAGAGAACAGATTGGACCAAACATCACCAAGAGTATCTGTCACAGTTGAATGTCCTTGAAAAGCAACTTCGAGATACACAATCTAAGAATGACTGTAAGTTTGAAAAACTGGGAACACTATGATATGAATGAAAAGTTACTTCATTTCCAGTTGAGCTTCTTTAGAAAACCAGAAGTGCTTAACCTATGTTAGAAAATTATGATACATTTTCAAGGAATTTCCATTATGTAAGGGTATGTCCTGGTGTGGTGCTGTGGATTAATGCACTGGACCTCAAAGTCAGTTTGAACCACAAGGTGGCGGCTCCTTGGTCACTGTGGGTTGGAACCGACTCGACGGTACTTAACAAAAACAACAAAGATTATGCCACTTAAAATATATTAAATCTATTGATCCTTTCCCCCACTTTCCCTTATTTAACATTTTTGATCCACATTCTACAGGGAAAATCTAGAAAAGTCAAATGACTGTAAGTCAGGGGCAAATGTTGATTCTTTTTAAATAATAATGTGACAAAAACAATTAGGAAGAAAGAAATCTCAATGTTCATGCCTGCTACTTAGTTGTTGAAAAATCACTTCTCTTAAAATCATTTCTTCTCTGATAATTATAGGACAAGTATCAAGTTTATGTGCCTACTTTGTAAAACTACTAAGGAGACCTATTGAGAAATTTATTTGTTTGTGTTTCAGTTTTGAAAAGCGAGGTGTATGACCTGCGAGTAGTTCTTCATTCTGCAGATAAAGAGTTATCGTCAGTGAAACTGGAGTATAGTTCATTCAAAGAAAGTCAGGAGAAAGAACTTAATCAACTTTCAGAAAGACACATGCGTGTACAGCTTCAACTAGATAATGTCAGGTAGGATTGTTCTGTTGTGGTTTCAAGTTCAAGGTGCCTGATTGGCCTGTAGTTAGAACTACTGAAAGTACAGGTGCTATACCGAACTTAAAAACTAGTTTAACAAAAAAGGTAACTTACTGGCTTACAATATTGGAAAGGCCCAGAGACAATTTTGGTTTCAGAGACAAACTAGATTTCATCTCAAATAATATTGTCAGTGCTCTCTCTCATTCATCTCGACTTCCCATTACATGCTGTCCTCATCTACTGCTAATGGGCTTCCTCTATGTGACAGGGAACAGACTGTCGTAGATAGACCCACATTCTCTTTCCCTGCATAACATGTGAAGAAATCCTCTCCAAACAGCCATATAGATCAGTCCCAGTGAAATATGAATTGGTCTTGTTTGTGTCACCTGCCTATCTTTGGACCAGTCACTTGTCAAGGGTTTGAGGTAGTACTGGCTAAACACAGGTAATGTGCCTTCTTTGAAAGAAACCATATGCTCTTAACCAAAAGGAGGACAATGCAAGGTAGACCAAAATAATACCCTCCAGAAGCCCTGGAACTCTTGAAACAAAAATAATCTAAAATGTAACCTAAATATATATTACATCTAATGTAAAGCTAACATTTAATAGGTATGTTTTTAATTTATTTATTTATTACTGTTCCTTTTGTTCTTGATGCTAATTTCAACCTTTTGTGTAATGTAACAAAACTGTTTTATGTTTTTGTTGCTGTCTTCTGGGTTTGTGGCCATAATTTAATACTGGACGTTTTTACTGTGATATAACTGAGTATTTTCTAGAAAAGCTGCTAATAGTTCCCAGCTGTTATGAGAGGTTAGGTCTGGAAGCCCTTAATGAATCTAACCCTCATTTGCCAAGAAATGTTTCAATGTGTTTTTGAAACAGAAAGAATATGGGGCAATAGATGGCTGTAACTTTGTACATATTTTATCCCCATCAAATTACTCTGTGGTCTAGGGTGTGGTCTAGGGTGCTTCACTGACATTTCACACAAAGTCATGAGCTTTACATAAGCATAGATTTTATGTGCATTGGTAGTGGTCTGTAGCTTGTATAAATGAGGTGCAGATAGTCTGACTAGCAGAGAAGTACACTTAAAGTTTATATTTACTATTATCCAAATCTTTTCCCAATAAAGACTAGAAAATGAAAAGCTCCTTGAGAGAAAAGCCTGCTTACAGGATTCCTATGACAACTTACAAGAAGAAATGAAGTTTGAAGTTGATCAACTTTCCAAAAACCTTGAAAACTGCAAAAAAGAGAATGAAACTCTGAAATCTGATATGAAAGTAAGTTAATAGGGTACTAGTTATGGGTGAATTTGTTCTGGCAATGCTTCTCTTGATTTTACGGTAAGGACTTCCTAACTTTCTTTACTGATCCCATAGTTCCAGCTTTGTAGTAGGTACTTGATGGTTCTTGTTGTTAAGGACTATGGAGTCTGTTCTGACTCATAGTGACCCTGCACAGGGTTTCTGAGTCTGTAAATCCTTACGGGAGCAGAAAGCCTCATCTTTCTCACGTGGAATAGCTGGTAGTTTTGAACTGCTGACCTTGAGGTTGGCAGCCCAACTGGTAACCACTATGCTCCCAGAGCTCCTTAGGTACTTGATATGTTTGTTAACTACTTGTTGCTAGTAACAACTACTTAAACTCTAATATAATACTGTTTTGTAGAATTTGATGGAACTTTTTGAGACAGAAAAAGAACGCAACAACAAATTGTTACTGCAGTTTGAGGAAGATAAAGAGAACAATTCTAAGTGAGTTCTATTTATTTTTTCTTGTTTACTGATTCTGTATCTTGTTTTTCTTTAAATTGCTAATACATTAAGGTATTAGTAGTTTTTCAAAACATTCAACAATTAGCTATAACACTTTAGATCCACTACCAATTGCTATTCATTTGTAAACTCAGGGCCTTAAGTAATTAAATCACAGTGTGTATGTGTATGTGCAGACTTCTATTTCTTTTGTCACTGAAATGTGAAAACTGCTTTTTTTTTTATTAAAGGTTTTTATTGTGGAGTGAGTGAAAGTGTACAGGGCAGATCATCAGTTTTACATTCAACAAATCATATACCTTGTTTCATTACATTGATTGTAATCCCCTCCATGTATCGTCAGTTAACAGTATTTCTCTCTATACACTTGAGCTTTTTAAAAAACACACAAACAAAAAAAAAAAAAACTACTCAGGCATATATAATAATTTGCATCTCCAAAGGGCACATTTTGCAAGTCTGCTTCTGGCCACCATCTCTTAGTCCTTCTCTTCTTAGTCCATGAATCTAGAGCCCTCAGCCGCTACTCCTTTCCATGCCCCCATCTCTACCTACAACTCTGGCACTGCTGCTTCTCTGGATAAGGTCCTGCACTCTGCTTGTGCGTTCCTCTCTTGATGGTCCTAGAGTCCTCTGTTTCTGGACTGTAAGATTAACTACTCCCCTTTTTTTGTTACAAAACTTCTACCTTTACAATTTTGACAATTGCGATTAGTCATGATAACAGTTACTCACTATTGAATCTTACGAATCTTATCCCCATCTCTTTTCACCAGACCCATCTAGACAAGATGACAGCTATTCAGTGGGTACTCTCTTTCCCCCCATACTCTTAAACTAAACTTCCTCTTGAAACCTTGTAAAGCCAGTTACCTTGTGCCTTTATTGCCCCCTCACTTTAGGTAGCCAATGTCTAAGTTGCCCGTACCTATCTACCATGTGTACAGAGTAGATAGCATTAATACTTGATTTGAAGACTCTTTCCCTCTCTGTTGGTATTTAGAGTAAAGGAGCTCTGGTAGCATAGTGGTTACGAATCGGGCTGCAAACCTTAAGGTCAGCGGTTCGAAACTACCAGCTGCTCCGCGGGAGAAAGA